TCTCTACTGCTACTCAAAGATTCCCCCGTTTGTACATCCCAGGATCTCATTAGCTCTTTTAGCTGCAGTGTCATAGTAGGAGCTTATGTTGAGCTATTTGCCTTCTCCACCCCCAAATGTTTCTCAGTCACTGCTTCCCAGGATAGTCCCTCATCCTGTAAGTATGGCCTACATTCTTTATTCCCCTAGATGTGTATGTTTACATTTGGTGGTATTAAAACCATTTTGTTTGCTTGCTCCTAATTTACCAACTGATCTAGATTATCTGAATCAGTGACCTGTCTCCTTCATTATTTACTATTCTTCCAATTTTTGTGACAGCTGCAGACTTTCAGTGATGGCTTTCTTCCAGGTCATTGATAAAAATGTTAGTGTAGGGTCAAAACCAGATTCCCACAGGACCCCACTGGAAACACAGCTGCTCAATGAGTATTTTCCATTTATGTTTTGAGACTTAGCAAGTAGCCAGTTTTTAATCCTTTTCATGTGTGCTATGTTAATTTTATTTTCTAGGGTTTTTTAAATCCAAATATGACATGGTACCAAGTCAAATGTCTTGCAGAAGTCACCATAAGCCCATGTTGATTTGCATTAATTATATTGCCCTCCTTTACTACTTTATTAATCAAGCCCCATATAAGCCACTCCGTTATATTGCCCGGGATCAATTGTCAGGTTGACAGGCCTATACTTACCCAGTAAGTCATCCTGTTTTACCCTTTTGAAATATTGGCACAAGATTAGCTTTCTTCCAGTCTTCTGGAACTTCCCTGGTGTGTCAAGACTTATTGAAAACCAGCATCAACAGTCCAGTGACTTCCTCAGCCAGTTATTTTTAAACTCTTAGATGCAACTTATCTGGACCTGCTGATTTTTAAAGTCTAAATTTTAATAGCTTGTCTCTCGTTATTCAGAGATTCTAGTGGAATGCAAAGAGTTATCTTCACCATATGATGAAACTATATAATTTGTTTTCCCCACAAATACAGAAAAGAAATAGTTATTGAATACTTCTGTTTTTTCTGCATTAGTATTGATAATTCTACCCTTTCCATCGAGTAATGGACCAATACCATTGTCAGGATTTTTGTTCCTAATGTACATTAAAAACAAAACAAAGAGCTTTTTCTCAGCTCTGCTGGCCCTAGATTTCTCCTTGTCTTTTGGCTTCCCCTATCTATTTTCTACAATTCCTAACTTCTAATTTATATTCACTATCAACTTCCCCTCTTTCGTTTGCTATTTTTTAAATTGTTTATGATTGCCTTCACTTTGCCTCTAAACCAGGTGAGTTTTTTAACCAGTATGACATTTGTGGGATTGTGGCTTTTTTGGGTATCTACTACATTCTTAGATAATTCCCAATTATCATTCACATTTCTTATTTAAATACTTCCTCCTGGTTCATTTGGCTCAATTGTTTTAAGCTTTGTGAAATTGGCCCTATTAAAGCAGTGTGTGTGTGTGTGTGTGTGTCTGGACTCTAGTCTGCTTTCATGACCAAGTCATGATCACTTGTACCAAAGCTATGGTTCACTTTTAGTTGGGTGCTCAGTTCTTCTTTATCTGTTCGAACAAGGTCTAATATAGAATTCCCCCATATTGGCTACACTTTTTGAGTTAGGAAGTTGTCATCTATATTTAGAAATTCCAAGGATGTCTTTAGTACTGGCAGCGTGAGACCTCCAGCATAAGTGTCTTCACTTGAAGTCCCCTCTTGTGATCATGCATCTTTTTTCCTGTGCTACAGATAGGTGTGTAAGGAGGTGGTCATCCTTTTCCAAACTATGATTTGGTGGTCTGTCGCAGACACTAATACCACATCTTGAGCTTTAGCTCTTAGGCCATTCATCCTTAGCCTTGTAAAAAAGTGGTTTTGAATGCTTGTCAGTGACTTGCAAACAGCTAATGCCATTTTTGACAGAGTACTGCTCCTTCTCCCATTTTGCCCACTCAATCCTGCCGAAAAATAAGATACAACCATTGATTTTTTTAACATTTAGTGGTACCAGTCATCTTCTCCAGGTTCAGTAATAGCAATGCAATCCACTTTATGCTCAACAATGAGCAATTCTCTTGTTTGTTACCTAGGCTCCCAGCAATTGTGTAGAGGCAATTCAGTAATTTCTTTCCATGTCCTTTGGTTCCTCGATCAATTTTGTTCTCAATAACTCACATCATCCGTTACCCATTTAGGGCAGATTTACACTCCCACTCTGGAGAAAGAGGACTGGGCATAGCCCAGGATGTAGGCTACCCTTTGCAAGGATATTGCATGGCCTCTCTGAAATATAGTAGCTATAACAGGTAGGTGGTATTAATAAGCCACATGTAAATAAAAGGATATTGGAGGTGCTCCAGGGAGGTACAAAATACAGGCTTCTGTAACCATATAACTGTCTGAGCTTCCAAATACTCTCTCTCCACCTTCTTAATTAAGAAATTAGGATGTAATTGGAAATATCTGTGCTCTGGGCATGTGAGCAAATCTCAAACATCCAAAAATCACTTGATTTAAAACCATGTTTAGATTCTCCTGCACAACTTGAACCCTCATACCCACATCATAGGTTCCATCCCCAAAATATGTTACTCCAAGTCACACATCTTCTAAAGGAACATGCTACAAAAGCAAAGATTGGAATTGGGGAGCCTCCCCTTTTGGGGCTCTGGGCCTTGGGTCTTCCTCATTGCTCATGTGAAGTATTTCCCAGCTGTGACACATGCAAAAACAAGCATTCAGACATTTGCAGGTTTATTATTTCAAAGTACACTATATACATAATGTATAGTCATGTCTTGAAAAACTTCATTTTATACAGAAACATATCTACAAAATTAACAATCAAATCAATAGTCACAGGGTATCTTGTCAATACACATATGTACATATTGGAAGATTGAACATCATTTTCACCAACAGAGAACGGGTAAGTAAATAAAACCCTTTTTTGGGGGGGGGGGAAGAATCTCATAACTATATCTATCATAGCTGAAAATTCTTTATATTTGGCAACATTTTCAGTTATCTTTTTGATGGGCATGAAAAGTTGGATTTCTTGCGCCACCTACTGTTACTAATAGTTAATATCAAACAGTCATGTGTGTCAATAGTAAAAAAAGTCATGAATGAAAGTATTGCCTATTATTGACGGTTTATGGACAGGCCTGTACATCTGAACTGCCTCGCTGCTCCCAAAGTAGTGGGTGTAAAGTTTTAGGTAAGAACACAAAGCAATTATACTGCAGTGCAGAACCAGTTTCAAAAGTTACTTTTTTCAGCACGTGTTGCCAGCAACAAGCAAAGAGGATCAGTAAGCAACTGCAGAACAGAAAATGTTTTGGGAACACAAACCAGATCCCATTGCCTTTAGAAGTCTATCCACAAAAACTAAACTTACATACACTTAAATGGATTTAAAAGGGAAAGCACAGCTGATGTCTGGCATACAGGGTACTATTCAGATACATGGGTCTGACTTTATAATCTGAAATAGGATATTCCATGGTGTGGAAAGACCACCACAGTTAGGCAGTCAGAAGCAGATTTTCTTTAGGACCTGAAACCACAATCAGCCTGGATGGGTGGTGTGTGTTATCCAAAATAAATTGCAAATTCTACTTCAGCCCATAGATGCAACTGGCTAAAGGTTTAAATGGGTATTTTCAGAAGGAGCTTGAGGCAGCTAACTACCTATTATCACAACATTTCACTGGACAGTGGGCACCTAAAAGCCTGTGCCTCCTTCTGAAAACACCAGCCTAGCGGGATACTATACTTCCCATAGTTCAACATACTGATTTTATTTAAAACACACACAAAAAAACCCCACTCCCTCCTTCCATATTTGAGAGCCTGGCTGATATTTATCACTGTGCAGTGGCCAGCACAAAGCTTATGTAACACTTAAGTTACCCAAACAAGGAAAGTGGCTACAATTGTTACATAGGCCTTGTGCTGATTCCTTAGAGGGCTGGATTTCTTTCTTTTCTAGGGGAATAGCTTTAAATCAGGCTGTTTTTAACAAAAATGTTTTACCTCCACCAAAGAAATATTCTGACTCTTGCTGTATACCATGAAAACACTAGCATATTAGTCAGACGAATATTCAGGAGTAAAATACCAGCCTCTCTTAATTTGCAGCATCATCTTGCATATGAGAAAACTGACATCAGTAAAGTCAAGCAAAACTACTCTAACAAATTATTCCTACAACAATCTGCCATCATACTTTTGACATGATGCAAAGACGTGTAGAGGAGCTAACGTAAATACTAAAGTGCCATTTCCATCTGTGATAGGGGCATTAAAGAAAAAGCCTATATGAAACATCTGACTAGAATATAATGAACACTAGGAGGTCCTGGACACTACATATACACTTTATACAACCAACGAAAAAAATCCTGCAAATGTGTAGTGCAGGGGTCGGCAACCTTTGGCACGCGG